AATACTACTACTACTACTACTACTACTATTAAAATAGTTTTTAAAAATGCTTCAAAAATAGTTGAATATACAAAATTTGTATAAACTTTTTGGGAAAATGCACAAGAAAGCAAATGTTTTTTATGGAGCTACATAAGCACTGTAGAAAAATCCTCTAAAAGAATAATTTCTTTGTGTTTTGCCTCGTACTTTAAAAATATGGTCCTCGCGATGGAATTAAGTGTGAGAAGTCGTTTTTTGTGAGGTATTTATAGAAAAAAAAACAGGTCCCTGTCTTCGCAGTTCCAAGTTATCAAGGTCACTTGTGACGTTTGGGTTTCCATATAAATATGTGAGCAACATTAAAATGTCAGTTATAATTTGAGTTTTATAAAAAAAAAAAGTTACTGAGGCGTCAAAAACATTCTCATAAGTGGCCTTTTCTATGACAGTAAGGTGAATGTCAAGATACATTGGTACCCAATTTGACATCAATCAAATTAATAGATGCAGCTAGCAAAAGTTGTGCCAGGACATGCCATCGTGGTTTGGAACTGTATCCTAACGTTTCGCCAGCTCGAGTGGCTGGCTTCTTCAGAGGTCTATTCATTCTGATGGTTCACCGATAAACCAAACAGTGCATTACAAATACTTCATTAGTTTAGATTGTTCGGACCTGTAGCCACATCGCTTCGTTTTCTTTCGTTTTTCGACTCAGATGAAGTGCACTAATTAATGACGCATTTGTATTCTTTCATGAGCCCAACAGTATTAAAATTAATAATATTACACCTCCCATACATACCTCCTTCACCATCAACATCACCAACAGAATCAATGGTTGTGAAATTTTCCAAGTTATCTTCCTCGGCAGATACATCACTGCTGTTTTCCATTCTTTGCTTGCGCTAAAAAAAAATGTTTAATGAAGCAAATGTTTCAAACAAATCAAAGTCAAGTAGGTGTTAATCGGAAGTTTTGATTAAATAATAAATGTGGCCAAATCGATAATAATGGTTTCAATGCAGATACAATCCAGAAGTTAGTCACTTACATATTTTGGTAAAAGAACAGATAATTGCGGATTTCTTCAGAAAAAACAATGTGGAAGTGGCATTCAGACCACATGTCAGGTTATCTGATTTCCTTTTCAATGCCAAAAATAAAGTGGACAAGTTGGAGAAATCTGAAGTTTATAAGCTAAGTGTCCGGAGGGTAATAGTGTTTATGTGGGACAATGTGGTCAAAATTTCCAAAAATGGTATGCTGAACATGAAAGGTCCTTCAGACTAGGAAAAAATGATTCGACGTTTTCAAAGCATTACTTGGCATGCCACCACAAATTCCCGAATCTAAACAATACGGAAAGGAAAGGTTGCAAACCCGATTATTTGAAATCCTTGGAAATTCACAAGCATAAACATTGCGGGTGCAACCTATTAAATGATCAAATCGATTTAGTTTACCCATTGGCTTTCAAATTAGCATAGCCACATTGTCACTAGTAAACAAAATTCAGGTACTCAATCAAGCTAAGTACCTATTTTATTACCTACAGTGGTGTTATATAAGGGCTAATCTGTTTAAAATTTGTTTTTCCGTTAATCAGCTATCGCCCCCATACGAACGACATCTCTCAGAAGTTGAGAAACTTGTGCGAGCTAAGGACTAACGAGGTCTTACCTTTTAACGTCTTATTCCTAACACGGTTGCAGAATCATCCCAACTTCAACCAGATAAATTATCTCGAGAAAAATATCTGGTCAAGGCAGGAGTCGAACCCACAGTCTTCCGATCGTGAGTCGGGCGCACTACCACCGCGGCCAATTCCACAACTAATGTAATCAATCAGTGTTAGTTTAATATATGTTTGAAAATGTCCTTATAGGACGAAACTGCAGTAACGCTAGTTACAAATGACAGTGGTAAAAAACATAGAAAGTTGCAATTCTCTTTTCTTTATTATGATTTCCTACCACATAGTAACGGCTACATAAATCAATTTATTGAAAGATTCTAATTGATTCTTGAAGTAACGGTGATTCAGTACAACATGTTTTTTATCTACTTCGCAGTTTTAAAACCCAAAAAACTGAAGTAATTCAATAAAGTTACTGCATCAGTTGACATGTTTTTGGTGTTGAATTGAACACCTAACTAAAAATGTGCCACTAATTTGGAGTAATAGGACTTCAAAAACCGCCACAAGCATCACTGAAAACCCTTGTATTCAGCCAATGGACACTATCCATTCAGAGAATACTTAAATGAAATAGGGCTCTGAAGCAAAAATCTCAGTTGTAGGCAATGCGACAAGGGGGCAGATGCAGTACACTGTTTTATGCAATGGTGAGGCACTAAATTACAACTGGTAATTGGAAAAAAGGGGTATGCAAAGTTTGCCACAGACTTAGAAGAAATGGACTGGGATTTGACGTTACCACGAACATCAGAATAGTTATAATAAACGGTCGGAAATTGATGTGTCTTGTTTATTCGCGGTTGTTATTATTGTTTTTGGTTTTTGTACTTGGTTATAAGTAATTTACCACAAAATATTCTATAATAACCTTAAATTTCATTTTTATATGAGCGCACGACCATGGTAAAAGAAAGAAATTGGCTCCACACTTCATTTTGAGGTTTCCAAGGGAGTGGACTTACTGGTGGATTTTTACTAAGTCTAAGCATCATGACCAAATGTCAATATTCAAACTCGATACAATAATGAAAAAAAAAGTCTAAAAATTCCATAGGGTCCTAAGGAAACACAGCTTTCAGAAAATGATTCCTCTGATCTCAATATTTGTAAACAGAACAGTAAAACAATATAGTTCATCAAATAAATATATGAAATGACAATACTTTAGGGGCGTAAGAAATACAAACTGATTTATTAAACTTGTCAAATTAGAAACCAACATGCATCACAAACCACTCAACTCAGACACCCACAGAAGTGAAACTTCAGATATAAGCTTTAAAAATACCTACATAAATGAAATAGAAGGCTAGAATTTACTTACCTTCATGTGGTCGATGGAGCACAGATGGTTCTCGAAAATCATGGGGCTCTTGAATGTAATATTACACACTTTGCAGTACGGCATCAAAAACTTCTTCATATTCTTGTGAGCTTCCGAAAGTTGATGCACAGCCTTCTTCTGTTTGTAATTTAGCTTGCAGAGTGGACAGAAATTGGTTTTGGTGGACAATTCATCACTACTCTTCTCAAGTTCGTTTTGAGTATTCCTCTGGGCCTGCCTCATCTGAGCCAGAATACCCTTTTGTTTCAAAGCGACCTTCCGCATGGCGAACAAGTGAGTCTTGCTCTGAAGATGGATTTCGTATTTTCTGAAAGTGATCGCCTTCACCGAACATTGAGGGCAATGCAGCTTGATGAAAGTTCTCTTTTTCTTCTTCTCGTCTCCACTCTCAGACTTGTCATCCTTATCGGCAGCATCTTTATCTTTTGTGGGACTCTTTTCGCCATCTTTGTCACCATCTTCTTTATCTACTTCTTCGTCTTCGTTCTTTTCTTTTTTTTCTGCATCATCATCAGATTCCTTCTCACTGTCCCTCCTTCTGATTGCCCGTCTTGCAACGATTGCGCTAAATCAAAAAATAGATTTTTACAAGTCAATGTCAAACAACAAAATCCCAAAAACCCATTTGGGGAGTACTAAATTATGTGGTCTTCTTCTGGAACTCCCGGCTAACGTTGTACAACACTTGCTATACTTTTTGAAGTGTTCAATGTTCATCGTGAAAATCATTTGTGAGACTCAACTATACCAATGTGGAAGTAGAAAAGAGGAAAATTAACTATGAAATGCAATTCAGCCAAACACCATTTAGTCCAAATTATGAATCTCTTAATTCTCTGAAGACTAGTCAAGATCATCAGGGTGAGTCAAAGATGCTGACATTAAGTTTGAAAAAACTAAAATGTCATAAAACATTTTGGATCAGTTTTTTCATACAATGCTGATAAAGTACTTATGGTATAGGAGGTTACCCATTCCGGAATGAAAATTAGATATTCCCACAACTCTCTCCCAAATGATAAATCATTTATCATCACCATCATAATTCAAAGATGAACGAAAACCCAGTATCAACTATGTTTTCGAAGAATCTATATAGGTCTTCATCTACAAAATCGATTACATATTCACACAAATAATTATTGCAATTCGTTTGACAATTTCATGCAATATCTCGTCCACGTCAGTGCAGATTCTACATAAGGATTTTCATTTCATGAAAGTCATCAGCAATAAAGCATAAAGTAGCATCATTTATGTGCCATCGTCCTTTATATCCACTCCAGTCACATAGTTCAAGAATTTTATTTTTATGATCATCAATTTTGTATAAATTTTTCACCTTAATGTGTGATTTGTGTTGTATTTTTAATGGAAATTGTCCAATTTGCTGTGATGTTACTATTCAGTTAGAGAAGTATACTAAAATTCCACTTTTGATTTACATTTGGAATAATCGATCATCGAGGTCGAAAACGGGGTCCATGGTAAAAATGTGTAAAATACCAAATCAATTGCTTCATCCTCAACTCAATGGAAACCTGATGCCCCTTTTTAATCTTCAATCGATAATGTATAAAATATGGTATAGGTAGATATGCAATTCCTTTGAAAACTTGGATAGCAGTAAAATTGTAAACAAAAATGTCCAGTATTTTTGTGGGACTTGATAACGTTTATCAAAAAATCGAAGATAAAATGATGCCAGAATTACAATACTATTCTTATTTGTAGTTTTTTTTACTAAACAAAAACCTTGAATGGTAGATCGTAATCGTCTCATCTGTTCTATTCATTTATTATATAGGTCTTGATGGATAATTCTTAATTGTTCAAACTCCATGAAGTTTTGCTCTACGCATTTTTTCAAAATCCACATTTGTTGCAATCGCTTCTTTGAATATTTTCAGGTGTTTTGCTACCAAATCATATACAATTTATTTAGGAAACAATCTGAAGGTTTCAGCAATACAAAGAAAAAGACATTTTAAATTTCAAAGATCCGAACCAGAATAACTTTGTATTCTCATTATTATAAAAAAAAAATAGTCTAGAAAGTATAGTTAAAAATGATTCCTAGTAACCATTAACTATGTTCGCAAATAACGATGGAGGTAAAATTCCTACGAACACTGCCTGTACAAAAGTGACTAAGAACTTTGGATTCAAATCATAATAATTTTAGTACTCCTGAAGATGCCAACTAGTCATTTGGGAGAAATGTTGATATACTCGGTCAAAATGGAAGATGGTCAAAAATCCACAGAAATCTATGAATATAATGGAACCTGACAGCAAAAGCACCAATCTATCGCTGTAGGGCATATTCATAAGAACACCTTTCTCCAAAAAAGATTTTTTGTGTTGTTTTAGTTGGGAGATACGACAAAGTAAACAATTAATACAGAAAATGTTATCATACTTCAGGGTCATGTATACCAACATAATGAAAACATTGACAATTGGACTCTCCAAACCCATGAACATATCTCATAAAATCAATCTTTTTTGATTCACCACACAGTGGTTGGTCATAAAGTTCAAAAAGCTGGTAAAAATTATTTTCATTTTTTTTTTAACATTCTGTCATGCTCTACTTACTAGTAATCTCATCAAAATATAGGTATTTTTAAGATTATAGTTCACGATCTGGCCTATACAAAAATTACATAAATATGTAAATAGATTGTATGTATGAATAATTTGTGTATTAGCACAGCGGCATTTGTGTATACAGCGGTTGCTGTATTTCTTGATAGTGAAGGAGCATTTGACAATTCACTACCTAAATCTATAGGATTGTCTCTGGCTAGGAAGGGTATAGAATCGACCATAACTGGCTGGATCTATGCCATGCTAGTAAACAGAACTGCAACTACGACACTTCAAGGCGAGGCTATTAGGTTCAGGGTAACCAGGGGCTGCCCTCAAGGTGGGGTACTATCTCCCCTTCTGTGGTCGCTCCTGGTGGATAGTCTGCTTGATGCCCTCGACAGAAGAAAAGTTGATCTGCAAGCTTTTGCAGATGACCTCGTCATCCTGGCAAGGTCAACGTCGGGAATGGTAGCTTGTAATATCCTCCAAAGCACGATGGATGTTGTTCACAGTTGGTGCCTGAGGGAACAGATGTCCGTCAACCCCAGCAAAACTGCGTTAATCCCCTTCACCAAGAGAAGAAAATTGAACGATCTAACGCCACTTTCCCTCAATGGTGTGGTCATTCCATTTGGAACGGAGATGAAATATCTTTGCAGTGTCCTTGATAAAAGACTCACCTGGAACGCTCACTTGGAAAAAATTTTACACAAAGCCAGACTGTCTCTATGGATATGTCGAAGGATTTGTGGTAAAACTTGGGGTTTAGGTCCCAAACAAATCCATTGGATTTATGTGATGATTTTCGGACCAATGACCACTTATGGAGCAATTGCTTAGTGACCGAAGGTTTCACAGAAAACGGTCCAAGCGAAGCTCTCTGGCTTACAGAAACAGGCTTGTCTGATACTCATAATCAGGTGTGCTATCTACTGAATGAGCTCAACTCAAAAGATAAAATTCAGTACCAAATCTGTTCAGAAAGCAATATTTCAAAGTCTCAATGAAGTTTGTAGAATTAAATAATGATACTACTAATGTACATGCACAAAATTATTATCATTTTTAAGCCCTAATAAAGACTCCACGAAATTTGTATTATTCCGATAAAATATTGGAAGTTAAATAATTATTGTTTTGGTATTGATGATTCAGGTACAGGTTTCATTACCTACAATAATTATTCGACTTACATTAATGTTTTGGTATCTCAGATAAGGTATTGATGA